GAAGGGATTGCGGCGTGACCATCCCCCCCTGGGGGGTGATTTCTCGCTTTCTGTCTCTATGTCTCTCTCTGTTTGGCAAGCGCACGCGCCCTATAGCAAAAACCTCTCAAAAAAAAAAAAAAACAAAAACAAAACCAACACTTAGGGGAACCAGCAGTTAGCGTAATGGCTATGTTGCTGGACTGCCACGTAGTCGCCCGCGGTTCACGTCCTGGACCCAGTGGCTTAAAACTCATGCCGGGCGCGTGTGCGTGCATGCCCAAGATCCCAAGAGGAGAATGGAGGAAAAGGGACTGCGGCGTGACCATCCCCCCTAGGGGGTGATTTCTCGCTTTCTGTCTCTATGTCTCTCTCTGTCTGTCTGGTGAGCGCACACGCACTATAGCAAAAAAAAAAAAACAACCTCTCAAAAAAAAAAAAACAAAAACAAAAAACTAACACTTAGAATCCAGGGCTGGAGGAAAGCGTTCATTAAAAAAAATGTTAGTCAATCTGAAAGTCCTAGAGGTAAAAAGACACAATTAAACCATTTAAAATACTCAAGAATACTATAGTACCTTTGAAGTTCACAGTATATGGGCAATATTGAGGTATGGCAGAGAAATGAAAAAGCCATGGTTGGTATAGCATAAACACTCTGAAAAAAATGTTTAAAAGACAAGATTATTAAGTGCTACTCTACTGAAACCATTATTTCATTTGGCAACAAACTTGGTTTAAAAAAAATCAGCTTGGTTAAATTTATCTCCTCTTTCATGAATCATCTCTACATATGTTTTGAAAAGAGACATACCTATGGTCACCAGCAAATGTTTTACTTGACAGTCAGCTTGCCTGTATTAGCCAGAATATGTTGGCTGGCGTCCTATACCACACTGTTTTTATGATAATCACTACTTCTACATTATTTGTATAAAGATAATGATAACTTAGGGAAGATAAATAATATTTAGATAAGATAAAAATAACATCTTAGAAATAGTGTTGCAATTCTCAGCCTTTCCTAATGTATGTACAACTTAAATACAATCTTATTACCCTAAGCAGCAATAATAGTTAATGTTTTTGAACTTGCTTTCACCAATTCGATCCAAGAGAGTATTAAAAATATTAATCACATCTTAGTATTGCCAGCATCTTCGACTAGATCTTTTTCAGTGGGAATAAATATCATTTATTCTAGACCTGCAAACACTTAAAGATCTGATGGAAAACACAAGCCTAAGTTTTGCTTTGTTTTTATTAGAATACTTAACAGGAGCCAGAGGAAGTCACACAACAAAAAGGTTACCATCCAAATGAAAATATTGTCTTTATCATGAAAGGGGGTGGTTTATTTTCTGATCTAAAAAATTTTCTCCTTAACTAACTTTAGGCTCTTCAGTGAAAGAAGTTTCAGATGATGAAGACCTATCTCGGGACAATGCCCAGACTCCTAAAACAGCGGAGAGGTCTGGGAGGAAGAAGGCTCCAGTGTTTCCTGAGCCTGAATCAGGGGAATGGGAGTTTAATTCTCTAATTCTCTGTTTCATATATTGCTCAGTTTCCTGGTTGTCAATAACTCTCTACATCTCGAAGGCACAAGGACGTTTTTACCATGCAAACTACGTGGTAAACACCCTTATGGGACCAGAGAGACACTTCTTTTAAAAAGGAGGGATAAAAAAGGAAAATTCTGCACGGAGGAGTAACCACGCTAACGTTCTACAATAATGGAAGCATACGGGAGCAGAGGGGTTTCTAGCATCTGAGACCTACAAAACGACATTTCAGTAGAACTACAAAGTGTAGGTGAAGAAACCTGCAGTAAGAGGGAGGACTTTTAACTTTCTGTAGTAGTAAAGCTGAGATCATCCAGATCTCAGTTCCCGTCCTCTCTGCTCACATTCAGGGACTCCTGCAAGTACTAGTAGTGTCCTTTGGCTCTTACAGAAGGCGAGGGCACTTGGTCTCCCAGTCTCCACTCCAGGCGCAAATTGCAACTTTGGAATGTTGGCTAGAAGATATACTGGCAGTGCTCCATTGCTGGTCCAATGGTGGGGCTGTTTAGTTACAGACCAAACTTCTACTCACAAGGGAGAACTTTTTGATATAATTGGCTATTTAGCTTTATAAGTCCAGAGGGCAACAGGAAGTCTGTATCCACAGAGGACCTTACTGGCCAGACCAGACATTCGGTAAATCTGTTCTTTTAGGCAGAGGCCCATTTAAAACAGGCTCCATTTAAAGGCATGCCAAAAAAAAAAAAAAAAAGAAAAAAGAAAGAAAGAAAATAGGTGGCTGTTTCATAATGGGCCACCCTGTGTTAAATAATATTATTCTTTTGGTAGGCAATCCTATACTTAGCACTTTCATGAAAATTAATTAGTTTCAGGTACAAAGACCTAAGAGACCCTGTTACACAAATCTCTTAAAACTTGAAATGTGAAAAATCAACCAAAAGTATCTGTTAATAACTTACACACCTCTTTGGAGAAATGAAAGAACTTTGGTTTACAATCATCTGTAGCATTTGAAATCTGTTTAAGAGTATTGAGGGGAAAAAGAGAAACCAATAGCCATTAAAAGTCAGAACACATCAACAGAAGTTATAAATTTATTATGAGGCTTTCAAATCAAAATATTTCAGAACAAAGTTACAAAATATAATATAGCCATTACTTTTTCATTAATTAGAGAAAATTACTAGTTTGCTTTTTTATTACCTTTTAAAGTTTTTTTTGCCAAAGGGTGCATGTACTCACAGTGGGGAGAGAGGAAAAGTAAGAAAGCACCCCTCGGGGAGGATGGCCACTTCACAATCCCTTCTCTAGTCTCCTTTCAGGATTTTGGGCACACAAGTATATGCGTCTGGCATGTTTTTCAAGTCACCTGGTTTGGGACACACCAGGTGTGTGTGTGTGCCCAAAATCTCGGGATAAACCACTTTTTTCCTCCTCTCCCCTGTGAGCACACATGCCTTGTAGAAAAAAAAGAAGGAATAAAAAGAAAAATGAAGAAACTGAAAAGAAATCTAAGATATTACCTGGGAGTATTCCTTTACATAATTTAATGTCAAAGGACATGGGATGGACCATTTTTTGACTATTACCTGTAAGAATAAATAGAGTCAGCACTCGAGAGTATTTCTTATAAAATTCATAAGAAATTGATTTCAAATAGGTTAGCATTATTTCAAGTATTCTAACACCACACCAAATAAGATGCTAACAGAAGATTCTTTGTTTACATGATGCTCCCGTTAGGACAGGAGCCTCATTTAACATGGCCACCTGTGGCAGGAGTGGGGAAGGGACTCTAGGATGCAGCACCTCAGTTAGGGACGATTTCCTCTATTAAAGATGAAGGGCCCTCTCATATCAACATTCAGAATTCCAACTGCATCAAAGCCTGTTTGTTTGTTTTAGTGCAATTCAAGAAGGGAATATGATACCTTCAATGACAATGATACAATATGGTAATTTGTGGACCCAGTGTCAGTACAGATACATATATACATCCATCCATACTTACATGAACACCTTAGGTTTTTGCCATAGGGTGCATGCACTTGCTAGAGAGAAGGGGGGGAATGAAAAATTACCCCCCCTGGGTGGGGGATGGCCATGCCGCAATCCCTTCTCTGCAGTCTCCTGTCGAGATTTTGGACATGCACACACACGTGCTCACCCCATATGATTTTGAAGCCACTGGCGCGAATTGCTGTTGGCCATGTGGGACTCCAGTGCCTTAACCACTACACCATCTGATGGTCCCCAGAGAGAGTAATATTAATAGCAGTTTTGGGAAAGGCCACAGGCAGAAATAAGCATAGATCATATGCTAATTGAGAGTGCAATGATACTTTTTCAAATGTGTATTATTTTTAGTAAATGTGATAAAGCTAGCCAGAATGAAGGCACATAGCTAGGGAACTCCAGCTGGTAAAAGTAAATGAAAAGAAAACATAAAACAAAATCCAGAGGGAGGCAGTTTCCCAGAAATCATCAATGAAAATGTTTCAGGATTTTGCTGTTAATTGCGGCCATCATGTTCCTAAGACCCACAGTTGTGGCTGTGTCAACATTAACATTGTTGCCATTTTGTCAGGGCACATAATTACACTGTAAATGTATGCTTGCTCCAGGCTGGACCCTAGCATATAAGGAAGAGAGAATAAAGGAAGTATTTGTCCTTTGCAGGAGACCAATAAATAAACACTATTTCTATTTGGTATTTATCTAGTTTTAGATTGTAACAAATTCGGTCAAAATTACCCAGTCATAAAATAAATCTAAGGAAAACATATACTTTTAGGATTTAGTTAATGAGTGAACTAAATAATCACTCTTAATTAAAAACCTCATTAAAAAATAAGAGCGACGTTGCTTAAATGTCTTTTCTTCAAAATAAATGAAATGATCAGCAACCAAGAGGAAAGAATAAATCAAAAGCAATAATCTCACCATTTGTTTTTTCTGATAGGTTTTCAAAAAAAACAAAAAACAAACAAAAAAGAAACCATGAGGATGGGATAAGGGAGAAGCTGGAAAGAGTTGGTCATTAGTGAGCTCTTTCTTCAGCCTTGCCAAAACTGCTCCAAATTCAGTCTCACCTTTTCCCCTTATGCACAGAGGTGGTAACAGCTGCTTATAGAGTACTTGGTATAACCATGTCCCTTGATGAGCTTTATATGTGAGCTGACATTTATTTCATCAGTTGTTTCTAAGCTTTCAAATGAAAATATGTCAAAATAATGCTCCGAAGTAATGTAATCATTACTTTCTCATTAATCAGAAAAAACTTATTAGCAGCCTAATTTTATATTAATACAAAATTCAGTTATGACGGCTATTAATAATTTCTCTGCAAAGATCCATCCCAACCCCAAGACTTCGTGATAAAACGGGTGGAAAGAGGTGATGTCCTTATATAAAGCAGTTAAGAACAGGAATGGAGTTGAGACCCAGCAACAAAGAGGAAAGATTAGCAGAGAGACCTTGCTCAGGTTGAAGATGGAACAATAACTCTAGGAGGGTGAAAATAACAAAAGGGAAAAGGAGATTAAGTATTAAAAATATTTGTTAGCTTGTACAAAGGGGCCTTTCTTCTCTCTGCTCTAAGTTCTTCCCACTTCTCATGCCTTAGCTCAAATTTCTTTCCTTTTGAATTCTTTACGCTAGCTCTCAGTAATCGTTTTTCCTCTTAACTCTTCTGACTTGTTTGGAAGCAAACAGATCAGTATCTAATTATGTGTTGTCTATGTTTTTCTGTATCATCATCTTCTTCTTTTTAGGTTTTTGCCAAAGGGTGCATGTGTTCTCAGGAGAGAGACTGAGAAAGGGAAAGTGAGAAATCACCCCTGTGGGGGATGGCCACACTGCAATCCCTTTTCCTCCATTCCCCCCTGGGGTTTTGGACACACATGCACACACTCCCAATGTGAATTTCAAATCTCTAGGACCATGACTTGAACCATGGTCAGTCATATGGGAATCCAGTGTCTTCACCACCACCACCTGCTAGCCCCTGTATTTTTTCCTAATAAGTTAATCTTCTCTCCCCTACTGGACTAACAAATCCTTAAGAGTAGTATCCAGGATAATTTCCACACTCTATAGTGCCAGGTAGAAAGAAAGCTTCTGATTAACATTCATTTAAATAGTTGACTATTTTGATTACTGACTTATAAAAATATTACTTAGAATATTAATGTATACTTAAGGCAGAACTTCTGGGGGAAATGGCAACCATCTGCATTCTATCAATCAAAAAAGGTAAATTTACCAAAACATCATAAATCTACCTGGTTGCCATCATTTGCAGTCACTGCAAAAATAAAATTTATTTTGAAAATATTGGATATTTTAGAAGGGGAAAAACGGTGTTAATTTTGTTTATTTATTTATTTTTTAATGAAAATAGGTGTCGGGCTAGCCTTGGAGCACAGGGGTTAGGTGCTGAGTGCAGGGTGTCAGATCCCACGTGTCCAAATGCAGTTCAAATTCTGTTCTTTGTGGCTTGGAGAACACATCAGGGGGATCAGCAGTTAGCGTAATGGCTATGTTGCTGGACTCCCATGTAGTCGACCCTGGACACAGTGGCTTAAACTCACGTCGGGTGTGTGTGTGTGTGTGTGAGTATGCGCGCACGCGCGTGCGTGCCCAAGATCAGAGAGGAGAATGGATTGCAGTGTGGCCATCCCCCCTGGGGGGTGATTTCTCGTTTTTTGTCTCTCTCTCTTTCTGGCGAGCGCATGCACCCTATAGCAGAAACCTCTCCAAAAGACAAACCCACATCAGGCACATGTATATGCATGCCCAAAATCCTGATGGAAAGAGAAATGGAGGAAAAAGGATTATAGTGTGACTACACCCCACAGGGGGATGTTTCTCTCTCTCCCTTTTTCTTTGTTGCTCTCTCTCAGGTGAGTGTTCACCCTCTTGGTGATTAGAAAAGAAATTAAGAAAGGAAAGATCAGGAAAAACAGTTTGAATTTTGATCTATTTTGTTTGAAGAGTATAATTAACAAAGTATTTTCTGGTTTGATTTTTTTAATGTAATATGTTAAACAGACTTACATATACCTGTGGACAAAAAAAAAATCAATGAAAAATTGGTATTGCTCAAAAAATAAATCTAGGTCAGTATATATGCATGTGTCCCTTTTCTAACCACTACATGTTTTAAAATCCAACACTGAGACAATCTAAAATGAGTATGTCAATTAAACAGTGTTTTTAAAAGTGTACAAGATGTTCTTCATTGTACCACTGGAGACCAAATTTAAACTATGCACACAGGTAAAAATCAGAGCAGATGATTTGTAAAGCATAATAATAAAAGCGGGATAAGAGTATTATTTCCAGGGACCAGCAGATGGTATAATGGTTATGTTGCTGGACTCCCATGTAGCAGACTGCAGTTAGAGTCCTGGACCAGGCAACTTAAAACTCATGTCTGGCGTGTGTGTGTGTGTGAGCTCAAGAATCCCAAGAGGAAAAGGGATTGTGGCGCGGCCACGCCACCCAACCCCCTGGGGGGGATTATTTCTCTCTTTTTTTGTCTCTCTGTGTATTTGTGGTGAATGTACACATCCTGTAACAAAAATCACTCTAAAGAAAAAGTGTTTTTCCATCTAACTGCTACAGTAAAAAACAATCTGCACTGGATTGACGAGTATCTGCCATGACAAAAATGAAAACTATACGAGGCATATTGTATCAATACATTTCACCTGCTTTAAGCTATTGGTAATGAAAACTAAATTAGTCCTACCTATGCAATGCTTGGATTGCCAATTAACTGTAACGGGAAAAACTCAGTATGCTATCTACACAGATTCTTTTAAATAGCCATACATTCACTTGTATACATAGGCCGCTTTTAACTACGCAGATGCTGCCTGACAAACTGAGAATATTTACTGTTACTCTCTTCAACACAAAGCTTAAAAAGTGTGTTCAATTCCCTTATTTGTAAGACAGAGTCAGACAAGGGGGAGGGAATGATTTTAATGTTGATAAATTAAACAGATGATTAAATGTAAACGCTGATTTTAGTTTTAAGAGCAATCATTAGAGTATATATATACTTATGTACATTGAAATCAAGCTCACTCTTAATTCACTGGAATAATTTAAAGTTGTTTTATCCCTGACAAAAGACAGTTCAGCCTAAGTCAAACGGTTGCTGTGACAGCACTACAGTCTGAGCTTATAATATGGTTTTACTACTAATGTGCTTGCTCTCTTGTACAGCAATTTTCTTTCATTCATTTCTCAATAACAAGGAAGAATTTAATAAAGCTATGAAAAGGTAATTTAGATATGTATATTCTTGGCATGCTAAAAACATTTCATCTTACTTAGATTTGGCACTTACAGATACCGATTATGAAATAAATGGCTTTGCAAAGAAAAATAGGATTAAAAAAAAAAACTTAATACAGATACTATCTTCAGGATGTTAATATTTGTTTTAGAAGAATTAAAAGGAAATAAATTCAAATTCTCTTTTATGTTGTTATTTAATAAATACCAAAAAAGTTAAACTTACCATCTGATACTTTTCTATGTTATAATAAAAATGAGCTAATTTAAAAACATGAAAAAAATACATCCCGCAGGTGAAGAAAATTATCTATTTGCAGTCATGTTTTTATGAGAATTTATCTACGCTGAATAAACCAGATCGCATAGGAGAATTCAGGAACCCCGGTTCTCATTAGATCTCCTCAGTGGCAAAGTCCCAGAAGCTCTGGTGTCATGAATAAAACAAAGTTTCCAAATTAAAATGATTAGTATCAAATTGATTTTATAGATTAGAACCAGGCTGATTCTTTCCACAATACTGTGCAGGAACACACTGACACACCTACCTGAGGAATTACACTCTAACAGAACTGGTGTGCTCCCTTCTCTAGTTCACAAGAACAAGCAGTTACCCAGTTACAGCAACCACAAGAGATACTAAATCTGAAATGCTCTTTAGCTTAGCCTCTTCAGAACAGACACAATAAAATAAATTGTTTTGTGGAACAAAAGTGTTTTTAGTAAAATACTGAAATAAAATGGGATACACTTTCCAACACAAACCAGTTAAAACAAAAGACATTAACACAATGAGTCTAATTTTAGGGAGCAGATAAGCAATGCATTGTATTTTAAACTTACCACAAGGGCAAAGAACACCATAAAGAAAAATGATAAACTACTTGTGTAGCCAAGAAAGCCTGTAAAATAACAGTAAAATAAAAAGCGATTTATAAGGAAAGTGATCCGAACGTACAACTAAAGCTATACATCTTAGGCATGTTTTCTATTACAGTGCTTGGGGTCTGGGGCTTGGGGCTCAGAATAACAACATTCCAACTATCTGTCACAGATCGTTTATGTAGCTCTGTACAGCAAAATTGGAACTGGCTTACCACTAATGGTACACTGTAAGGGAAGGTTGCTCTTTAATGTTCTGCTGTAAAGATTTTATTTTAGTGGGGCAGACAAAATACTACTGCAAACCAAGTAATAGGTTAAGTAGGCAAGGCTGAAGGCTGAACAATCTAAAATAAGGCCAAGTTTTAAATTGTTAACTACCACCACCCTTCTGCTAAAAATGTGGTACTGTGCTATTTAAAAGTCCCTTAATTTATTTCTCTCTCTCTTATTTCTATGTAAACATGTGCTCTTCTATAAACTTACCTATTTGAGGAAGAAGTGCGAGAGGGAACACGATACCAACACAAACGATTAGTAGCAGTGTTTGTCCATCAAGATACCAAGACCTATTACGAAAAAAAAAAGCAATTTTAGGAACAGGATTCTAGTGTTTGTTCTTACATACATGTGTGTATGTTACAACCACTACAACCAACCAAAGAAGTGGGGAAAACCCCACTTCTTTGTTAAAATATTCCGGGGTGGGGGAGGGTAGGCAGCCAGTGGCCTATGGTTAACAGGCAGCTAGATCCTAATGGCCAAACAATTGGTTTGAATCCCAGATTCTGGGAGTGTGTGTGTGTGTGTGTGTGTGTGCGTGACTAAAATCCCCAAAGGAAGGAGAAATGGAGAAGAGACTGCAGTGTGGCCATCCCCCATGGGGGGGGTGCTTTCTCAACCCCCTCCCACAGCCCTGTTCTCTTGCTAGTGGACACAAACACTCTTATCAAAAATTAAAGAATAAAAAGCCAGAAGTTTACTTAAAATACCAAGCTGAATATTTATTTCCTTTTTTAAAAAAGTTATTTTATTTATTGCTGTTATTTTAAAATGTGACCAAAGAGAGAGAGAGAAAGTGAGAAAGTAAGCCACCAGGTCCAGGACTCGAATAGTTGTCAATCATGTGGGAGTCCAGTGCCCTAACCACCATGCCACCTGTCAGTGCCCCCAAGCTGAATATTTCTATGTGGTAGCAATATGAGTAATTTTTTTCTCCTTGTTTGCATATATGTGGTTTCAAATTTTCAATATAAAATACATGTGTAGAAATTTTCAAAAGTTAAGGTGAATTCCCTAGGACCTTAGTAGATTTGTATTTAAAGGACAATTCATGAAAGAAATACAACTAGTACACACATGAGAATTCAATCACTAGTGCTAATTAAGGAAATAAGGCTATTGAAATTAAATAGTAAAATTATTTTAAAAAATCAATGATGTGATATAATTGGTCCTTCATACATTGCTAGTGAACCTGGTGATTAGCACTCTCTTTATGAAATCATTTGGTAGATGATTTCAAATTCACACTTTTGATAACGCATCCTCTTTCACTCTGTCAGGTAGTCAAAGTCTCTGCCATTTTAAATTAAGAAAAAGGTTTCTCAAACCCTGGCTTTTAACGTGGACTTTACGATTCACTGTATGTCTTTTTTTTAAAATTATTTTTATTTATTTACTTATTTTAATTTGACCAGAGAGGGAGAGAAGGAGAGGGAAGGAGAGAGAGAGTTATGAAGCAAGCTGCCGAAAGAGAGAGAGAGAGAGAGAGAGAGAGGGCACTTGTACAAGAAAGGGAGAGAGAGGGAGGGAAAATAAGAAAGCAAGCTGCCAGGTCCAGGACTTGAACCACAGTCAGCAATGTGGGAGTCCAGTGCCCTTAACTACCACACCACCTGCTGGTCCCTCATTGTATGTCTTTTATACCCTGGTTTACAAGTACTCTCCTATCTATCTCTAATCATTGCTACTGGGTGCTGATGACTCCCTCTTTAACAGAACAAGAGAGCAAGCAGCAGCAGAAACTGCATGATGACATTCTTCCCTTTTCTGCCCTAAAATTTGTGTCCTTAGGAAATGCATATGCCAGAAACCTATGCACAAGCATTTCCAGCTCTAGTGGACCTGAAGCTGTGCACATGTCCCTCAGTTCCTAGCATGTAGGAAATATCAAGAGAGCACATTTATTAAAAACACAAAATGATATTCACCATGGTACTCTTCTAGTCACTGAGTAAGAATAGAAATAGGAAACTTCAAAATACCCCTCACTGAGGAACACCTGGCAACTAAATTTCTGAAGCTGGCAAAAAGCCCAGGGCTCTACATCTAAAGTGTCTTTCCTTCTGGGATCCAATATCAGACCCAGACAGTTGCAGTGCCAGAGGAAAAGGCCCGGAGGATCTCAGCAAAGCAGAGCCCATCTGTCAGTTCTGCTGTCCCTGCTAGGTAACAATACTGTATTGTCCACTTTAAAAAATCTGTTAAGAGGGTAGATCTGATGTCAAGTGCTCTAATCATAATAACATAAAAATTATTATAAACTCATTTTTTTAAAAGAAGAAAAAGTCATAAAGGTAGAGCTGTACAACAGGGTGCGTGCTAATCCCTGGCATGAAGACTCTTCTCTCCCGCATAAGAACTAAGGAACACTATGAAATCATCAATAACAATTATTTTATAGTACTGGAGATCACAAATCATTTATGTCCAAGGAAGTCACATGACTAACCAGAGCACTGAGCTGTACTTCTGAAGATAACTCACCTCCTCACAGCACTAACTCAGAATCACAGAATTATGGAATGGCAGAGACAGAAGAGACCTTAGAGATCATCTGGTTCAACAGCTTTATTTCATATGTCGGTAAAACCAGCAAAAGGTTGATGATGATCTTAGTAGTGATGGAAATACTCTATACTCTTCAATAGTCACTCTTAAGTTTATAGTATTTTTCAGATACTGACTCATTTATTTTCAAGATCATGCTTTATAATCTTCTCTTGACAGACCTGAACTTTAAATTTCTTAATCTAAAAAGAACTGTTGTAGAATATAATTTCTCTAGGGAACCAGCAATTGGCGTAATGGCTAAGTCACTGGACTCCCACATAGTGGACCGCGGTTCGCATCCAGGACCCGGTGGCTTAAAACTCACGCCGGGCATGTGTGCGTATGTGCCCAAGATCCCGAGAGGAGAATGGAGGAGAAGGGATTGCAGCGTGACCATCCCCCTTGGGGGGTGATTTCTCGCTTTCTGTCTCTATGTTTCTCTCTGTCTGTCTGGCGAGTGCACGTGCCCTATAGAAAAAAAAAAAAAAGAATATAATTTCTCTAGGGAACCAGCAATTGGCGTAATGGCTAAGTCACTGGACTCCCACATAGTGGACCGCGGTTCGCATCCAGGACCCGGTGGCTTAAAACTCACGCCGGGCATGTGTGCGTATGTGCCCAAGATCCCGAGAGGAGAATGGAGGAGAAGGGATTGCAGCGTGACCATCCCCCTTGGGGGGTGATTTCTCGCTTTCTGTCTCTATGTTTCTCTCTGTCTGTCTGGCGAGTGCACGTGCCCTATAGAAAAAAAAAAAAAAGAATATAATTTCTCTATTCCTGGCATGGCTACTGGCTATTATTAATCATTTCTTACCCTTATTATGTTAAAAAGTCAATTAAAAATAAAGTGCTTTTCTGTACCACTAATAAAAGCAACACATTAATGCACAGTAGAGTTAGTTTAGACCTCATATGCATGGCTCAGCCAACGGAATGGTGTTTGGCAATAGATATTTTCCCAAGAACAGAAATGACTAAGCTTACAAAATAAAACCTCAGCCTGAGACTCACAAATTAGAAAAAGAAATCCCCAAAAATACATAATAGATACATTTATTTTATAAATCAAGATTTTAAAAGAATGTACTGGCCTTAATTTTTTTCCTAAGGGGGAGAGAGGGAGAATTATCTACAGAACTCCTGTTTTCCTACTGTGATCTAAATATACACTCTCTTGAAGCCAAAAGAATTAGAGTAAAAAGTTTTATACTTCCTAGAAAACGTGTTTGATCTGTGGACTTAATCCTATATGATAAAAATGTTCCAAGTATAAAATATAGATTATAAATCCTTAGCAGTATTGCAAATGCTTTGGCACGCAGATGGCTTTTTTCATATTTTAATGAAAACCAGATTTATTTATAAGTTGCCTTAATTTCATTCTCGAATGGAATGGAACAAGAGTATCATATGTTCTGAATTAGGATCTTACTCACATCCCATATCAATTATGTAACTCAAATGCAAGACAACTTAATTGTGTCAATCATATTCCCCTGACAAGATCATTAAATGTTAACAGAGAGCTTCCAACTTTTAACAGACATAGATTCAAGAAATATAAGTTATTCTATGAAAAATATAGATGTATCATAAAATTCAGTGTAACTATTACAGCTTCTGACTTCTATAGTAATTTTTGAGATTAGAATACTATAGACTCAAAGTATCTTTTTGATAACATCTTTATAAAGGTTAATATCTCATAAAGGTACATCGAACTCAGATAACCCAGAAAATAAATACATCTAAAAGATCTTAATTGCAAATCAAACTCTAAAATAAAAGCATATTAATATTATATTAACATTAGAAGAAAAACTTCTATGTAATTCTATCTAGAAATAAACTGTCTATATAGCAAAGATAGTAAAGTCTATTACCATAGCATTTCCTAATTACTTTATAATATTATGCTTTAAAGACTGATTTATCTGCATTTTAACCAATTCATATAATTAGTCATTTATTAGTGTTTTCCAAAATTTTGAATCCAAAATAAAGTGAATACATATATTTAAAATAGATTAGGCTGTTAAAAAGATGTGCAATGTGGGACCAGCAGTTAGTGTAATGGCCATGTCACTGGACTCCCATATAGTTGACTGCGGTTAGAGTCCTGGACCTGGTGGCTTAAACTCACACCGGGCGTGTGTGCATGTGTGCCCACGATCCTGAGAGGAGAATGGAGGAGAAGGGTTTGCGGTGTGGCCATCCACTCAGGGGGGGTGATTTCTCGCTTTCTGTATCTCTGTCTCTCTCTTTCTGGAGAGCACATGTGCCCTATAGCAAAAATCTCTCTGGGGAAAAAAAAAGAAAAGATGTGTAATTCTGGGGACCAACAGGTGTGGTAGTTAAGGGCGCTGGACTCCTTAGGCAACCACAGTTTGAGGCCTGGACCTGGTGGCTTGCTTTCTCACTTTCCCTCTCTTATTCTGTCCCCCTCTTTCTCTCTCTTATTCTGTCCCTCTCTGGTCAAATTAAAAATAAATAGGGGGGAGCAGCAGTTAGCTTAATGGCTATGTTGCTAAACTCCTATGTAGTTGATCATGGTTTGATTTCTCGCTTTCCCTCTCTCTTTCTTTCTCTCACTCTGTCCCTCTCTGGTCAAATTAAAAATAAATAGGGGGGAGCAGCAGTTAGCTTAATGGCTATGTTGCTAGACTCCCATGTAGTAGACTGTGGTTCGAGTCCTGGATCCAGTGGCTTAAACTCACACCAGGCACTTGTGTGGGTGTGTGCCCAAGATCCCAAGAGGAAAAGTGATTGTGGCATGGCCTTCTCCCCCAGGGGGTGATTTCTCACTTTCTGTCTCTGTCTTTCTGGCGCGTACATGTGCTCTATAGTTTAAAAAAAAAAAAAAACAAAAAAAACCTCTCCAAAAAAAAAAAAAAAGATGTGCCATTTTTAAACCATTGTAAGAGAAATGATGTAAACTGACCATGGTTATTTTGTAGTATACAGTTTTAAAAGTCGATTTCTGACATGTAAAAATATTTTAATTACTTTTCTACTAGAAAAATATAGGAGTTAATTTTACTTAAAAAAATGTAAATGGCAACTCACTTATGAAGCTTGGAAAAAGATCTCATAGAGAAAGAAGACCTAAACTTCAGTATCAGTTCTGTCACATACCTAATTATTTCAAAAATTTAACATGTACTTATATCTCTTCTCTTCTCACAAAGACATATTACCAAAAATAAATAAATAAATAAATAAATAAATAAATAAATAAATACAAGTTACCAAATTCAGGACCAAGAAAAAGGAAAACACATTGGACAACCATTGAGATTAACAGTTTTTTCAATGCATTCAAATTTGAATCTGAGCTTCCTGGCAATTGGAAAGAAAAGCAAACCACACTTTTAATGTAGTTATTATTAATGGAATTTCTTAATTTTCCAGATTTATATTGTACAATCCACTTACAAAAGTTATGTGTATCTTATTGGAGACTCCCAACAATTTTGTTAAGAAGACAACATTGGTCACCTTGTTATACCAAGAAACCTAAGGCTTAACATTATGTTATACAGCCAAAAGAAGTTAAGTTCCCTAGGCTATGGAATAAGAACATATATTGGGACTCGCAGTTAGCGTAATGGCTATGTTGCTGGACTCCCATGTAGTCGACGCGGTTCGAGTCCTGGACCCGGTGGCTTAAACTCACACCAGGCGCATGTGCATGCGTGCCCAAGATCCCGAGAGGAGAATGGAAGAGAAGGGATTGGGGCATGGCCATCCCCCTGGGGGGTGATTTCTCACTTTCTGTCTCTTTCTCTCTCTGTCTTTCTGGTGAGTGCATGCACCCTATAGCAACAAACAAACAAACACACAAACAAAAAACAAAAATAAACAAAACACCTCCCCCCAAAAAAAGAACATATGTCTCCTTACTATTAGTTACCATTATTCAGTCTATCCAATATTTCTTCATTTCTTAGCCCTAAATTACAAATTTCTCACACAGACTTTGAGCAACAGAAGTCATTTACAATATTTTTACAGCAAATACGAAAGTGAATTTCACATAGCTATTTCTTTCTCTTTCCATTTGCTGTAGGTCACATGCAATCACCAGAGAGAGACGGAGAGGGAGACAAAGGGAAGGTGCAAAAGCATCCCTTGTGGGGATAGTCACACTGTAAGTCTTTCTCCTCTCAGGATTTTAGGAGTCCCATGCACACATGTCCAGTGTGTTTTCCAAACTATGGAATCTGAGACTTGAATGGTGCAGTTGGTCATGTGGGATCTAGCTGCCTTAACCACCTCACCACTGCCTGGTCCTGATGTTTTTTATTTTAATAACAAATATATATACATATATATATTGTTGTTATTGAGATTTTCACTTTAGGGCATGTGTGCCCGCTGGAGAGACAGACAGAAACACAGAAAGAGAAAAATCACCACCCCAGGGGAGATGATCATACTGCAATCCCTTCTCTTCCATTCTCTTCTTGGGATTTTGGGCACATATGCACACACACCTGGCTGAATTTTAAGCTGCTGGGTCCAGGACTCAAACTGCCTTCAACTATGTGGGAGTCCAGCAACATAACCATTACACTATCTACTGGTCCTGATCTTATGCTCTTAAAATGATTAAAGTATTGCTTTAAGAAACAACTATATAGGGCAGCTGGTGGCATAGTGGTTAGGGCAGCTGGATCCCACATGCTGAATGCTTGGTTGGAGTCTCAGACCTGGAGGCTTGAGAAACATGCCAGGTATATGCATGTGCATACCCCAAATCCTGAAAGGAGAGAGAAATGGATGACAGGGATTGAGCCTTGGCCATCCTTCATAGGGGGTGCTTCCTCCTCTCTCCAGGGACCACAAAACTATTAAAAAAAAAAAAGCATAAAATCAAAATGTAACTAGACAAAAGCTGTAGGTAAAACAAGGTAGTTGTGAGCATCAGATGTGATAATAAATGTGGAAACCTAGCAAACTATGAAGTGCTGTACAAAGATGTTGCACAATATCCTCTGATGATGAAAAATCATTAAGGACTTCTATTTTTCCAACCACATTTTCTTTATAATTCCTATTCAGATCTAAAGTATACTATACTTTACTTATAAATATGTACTTGTAGTTATCTAAGTAGAACTCTTAAGAGAAGCCAAGATTTCAAAGCTAAAAACTAAATTTTGCAAATTTGCCCTGTATTCCAGAACAAGTTCAATCAAAAATATTCAAATCTGAAAGTCTAATATGTTTTGTGCTACAGCCTGAAAACTATGTAAAATTACTTGATGATAATTAGAAGGGCTTATCCCATGTTTTCAAGTTCATTTTTTTCTATAAGTTTTTTTAAATCAACATAAGGAAGAGAAAAGCATAATTTGTTTTTGTCTCCATAAAGAGATGAGTCAACAGTCTTTAGGACCAAGTACTCTTAAATGAAGAAGGAAAAAAGGGTAGAATACAGTTTGCTATTATTTGTAATAATGCTAAAACAGGATATTAAAAAATGAAGTCTTTACAAATATTATAATTATGTTTTAACCATACTGTAGATTAGGAATCTCACACAGGTATGGTTGTAACTGGCACATTCTGTATCACGATGATTTGCTGAGAAGGGACAGCAGTATTATTCACTCTCCTCCTTGAAGACCTTTACTGACAGCACTTTCAGCCTTCCCCCATACACCACCCCAATCTTGCATATGCCAGAACTTTCTTCTTTCCTCTTCTGCTATAGCTATCCCAGTCCTGTTTTATCCTATCTCATACCCTTGAGGAATACAAGGATTATATCTTGTGCTTCAGATGGTTCACAGCACAGTGCTTTGTACAAAATGGATAATCAATAAACATCTGCTGAGTGTTTTCTTCTCTATTACTACCCAGCCTGGCCAATTTGTAAGTGCCTTGAGGGCAAGGACTACATTTGTTTTACTTACCACTAGAACTTAATAATAAATATTTATTGAATTAATAAAGGAATTGACACAATGTACAATATTTTTTCTTACCCACTGTAGTCTCCCTTCAAAAACTCTGAAATAGTAGCAGGAAGCTCTGTTTTAATAATTAAAAGATAAGATGACATAGCTGTAAGAAAATAAAAAGAGCTCCTATTAGAATTCTATATTCTTTAACTATTTAAAGAATAGATCCGTCCAGGAACACAGATGTCCCTTGAAGCTATGAAAACACAGGGAAGATAAACTAAAAATGCATTATCCCAAAGAAACATGCATGCCTAGAAAGGAGATAATTAACTTTGTAGAATAACTGGTATGTTCATTAAGTATCTTTTATTTACATTTCAAGTACAAAGCAAACTATTTAGGTAAAAGAAAGGGGTTTGATTATAGATCATTTATAAATGACATTTTGTTTGAAGTTTTGCAAAAGTTCCCTTGGATGTTATCACTTCTAATGTCCAAGGCATTGAAGGTTCATTTAAGCAACAATTTGGAACAAAAGCAAAAGTCTAATAATTGTGACTAATAACTTCGACTATCTGTTCTAACTAGAGAGAGACTGCCCCAGAAGTCTTGTTTTCTCTCTCTCGCTTTACTTTTCTCTCTGCTATCCACCCCTAACATTATGAACGCTTGTTATTATAAGACAAAAACAGACTGCTTAATGAGCTACACTTGAAATTATTCTCTAAAATAGATCAGAAAAGATTAAAAGAAAACCATTAAGCATATTAATGGCATAAAATTTACAACTTGAACCAGCAGTTAGCGTAATGGCTATGTCGCTGGACTCCCACGTAGTCGACCGCGGTTCGCGTCCCAGACCCGGTGGCTTAAAACTCACGCCGGGCGCATGTGCATGCGTGCCCAAGATCCCGAGAGGAGAATGGAGGAGAGGGGACTGTGGCGTGACCATCCCCCCCGGGGGGGTGATTTCTCGCTTTCTGTCTCTGTGTCTCTCTCTGTCTGTCTGGCGAGCGCACGTGCCATATAGCGAAAAAACCTCTCCAAAACAAAACAAAACAAAACAAAACAAAATTTACAACTTTAACTCCATTTTATTAACAATTATGCAGTTAGTATTATTTCTCACAATTTATCTAATATGGTTCAAACTACCCTTAATAGTACTTTAATAACAATCCTGTTTCTGATCATTATTAAATGATCAGCTATAAACAATGATTTCAACCTTCCTTCACACACTAGGACAAGTTTTAATATGGTTACAGAATACAGAACTTATTTATATGTCAATATTTTAGCTTAAGCTTAAATGCTTAAATATATAAAAACCCAGATGATTAAGAGTCAGAACTTCAGTTTAACTAAGTAAGAGTTTCTTCTCCCTCCACAGGTTAAGTATTAAAAAAAACAAAAAAAAACAAAAAACAACAAAAAACTGAAAAGAAAATGCCCATGAAGAATAAAGAGTCTACTCTATGTGCACATTAATTTTATCACTTATTTATATTTCAGGAGACATTTCACTTTCTCCTCGGGCCTACAAAAACTAACACCATAAATAAATGAACAGTCAAAATTTCAGGACAATTTTATTAGAAATTTCAAACAGCTTAAGAACAAGAATGAGTATTTTTCAATCAACTTATTTAAAGCAGTTGCACTTTTCCATGATAATAATACTGTCTGACCACTTTGGAGGAAAAAAGCATACATAATCGTTTATGTGTAAACTTGTGCAAAGACAGACAATACTACCCACACAAACGTACATTCCATTTTTTTTAGTATAATGTAAATTTAAAGCAGTTACATAATCACTTCTCTAATAAAAATATCCATACACATTATTTTTCAGCTTATGGCTATTTCTTTTTCCCTATAAGTACAGTTGTTGACTAAAACCCATTGAGATCTTTCTATAGACTAATCTTTTACTAGGTTGTCAAAAAAGTCATGACATGTTTTTCTATGCAAAAACGTGTCATGACTTTTCAGACAACCAAATATATGGGGGTAAAACCCTGTTTTACCCCCCCCCCCCATAGAAAAACGCATCATGACTTTTCCAACAACCCAATATAATTGACTGTATTGTGAAAATGTGTTCTATACTGTTTGTATTCTCATAAGGAAAAGTGCTAACAATTTGGCACAGAACACAAATTTTGGATTAAGCTCCTCCACTTAAGGATTCGGAGTCTATATAACATTTTATCTGTTCCAAAGAACTATATACATAGGGTGCAGTGATTAAAAAATAATAATGAATTAAATTTTCTGAACTTGGTATAAAACTACTTAAATATATCGTGAGAAGGAAAGAAAAACTACAAAGGTAACTTGAAAACAAGAATGTAGACCTCCTACACAATGTAACTTATTATCTGCCTATCAGTCTTTCTTGCTTGGGTTAATTCAACACCACATGCATTTCTAAAGTTTCAGACATTGATCTCTTTCAGTAATTTTCTATTATTTCTTTAGGATCTTTAGTTGTAAAAAGCTTCAGTGAATATGAGATCATATTTCCTTCTAATACACAATCTGTCATTCTTTCCAGAATTTCTATTAGCCCCTGGCTAATCATTTGATCACTTTTATCCTCTGTTATAGTCTTAACTCTCTGGGTTTTAAATGGGAGTCTTATTTCATTAGATTCCATTCTGAAGAATCATGTATATTTTAAGATATATGAACTCATTAAACATATGTTTCTCAAAAATTACCTTTCCATACAAGATATAAGTATTTTAAAACATGAGAAATACTGCTCCTTTCTTAGAGAATGTTGGTTTGCGTTTTAAAGGCTACAAAATCACAGAGCTTATTGTGCGGAAAAACCCCACTGATTAAGCAAGTGAAACAAAAAAAAGACATTAGTCTATTTACTGTTGAATTTTTTTCTTAACCACAAGAAGGACTAGCACTTTATCATGCATTATATGTAATACAGAAAAGAAATGAAAAAGACTATCAAATGTACATCAAGCTAGAAAATATTAGTTAAATTTGTTAATCTTAGTTAAATTCACATTTATAGAAGCAATCAGGGACAGCTAGTGGCATGGTGGTTATCATGGCTGGATCCCACATGGCCTACTGAATGGTTCATGTCCTGGACCTGGCAACATGAAAAACACATTGGGGGGAACCAACAGTTGGCATAATGGCTATGTCGCTGGACTCCCACGTAGTCGACCGCGGTTCGCGTCCAGGACCCGGTGGCTTAGAACTCATGCCGGGCGTGTGTGCGTGCGTGCCCAAGATCCCGAGAGGAGAATGGAGGAGAAGGGATTGCGGCGTGACCATCCCCCCTGGGGGGTGATTTCTCGCTTTCTGTGTCTATGTCTCTCTCTGTCTGTCTGGCGAGCACATGCACCCTATAGTGAAAACCTCTCAAAAAAAAAAAAAAAAAAACCAATAAGAATGAATAAAATGAGCTGGCAAAGTTTTTATAGATATAGTATTAATAGGAAAGCTCATGTATCTATTGTTTTTAACCAAAAGGTTCAATAGAACAAATAGCTGGCTTCCGCACCTTTTGTCTCATGTTTTTTATTAATGACATAAAGAAGAGTTTAAAGACCTATCACAGAGACAGATCATAGACAAGACCTTGTAAATGAGTTTTGCTCACACTGATACACAGCCTACTCTCCTAATGTAAGATGTAGCATGTACTCTGACAGCTGTAACAGGGTTATAAGGGCCACAGTTACAGCATTAAGCAGTAAAGCAGGTCTAGTTAATTAAATGAGTTCTGTAAGTTGTGTTTAAAATGAAGGGAAAAAAAAATAGGACTTAGTGTGGTGAAGCTAAGTATATGAAGTGGCCCAATACTTTTCTCCCAGGTGTGTCTTCTAGCACTATTGTTGGCTTTTAGTGATTCTAAGTGACATGCAAGTTATTTCTTCATTTAATTTCCACACAAGTCTGTAAGGTAGATATTCTTTATTTCACAGGTGAAGAAATAGAGTTACAAAAAAATAAATTGCCCAAGCTGGAGATGGTAGAAACAGTCAGTCCAGCTTCAGAAACTTGCTCTATTAATTAGAAAGTGCAAGAGGAAAGTGAAGAAGTAATAAACCAACGAAAGAAAAATAAGAAAAGGCTACAAAATCAACTGCTCTCCACAATTACTAGTTTTTATTTCTGCATCAGCATTTAATCAACAAACTGATTAATGTTGACTTTAACAAGATTAAAAAGAAATTTAAAAATCTCTATAACAAAACATTAAAAGCTTTAACAACACATAATTTTCATTTCACCTTAGCATGTATTTTCAATGTATTTCATTTCAGATTTGTAAGCGGTTTGGTGAAATGACTAGTCCTGGGTTCATAGAGTTTTAGTAGAGCACAGGGCTCTACTGCATCTGTTATATGACTGTGCTAACACTGATGACTATGATTACAGTTTTGAAGAGAAAGTTTCCTACTCTCAAAAATTATAGACATTGGGGGAACCAGCAGTTAGCGTAATGGCTATGTTGCTGGACTCCCACGTAGTCGACCGCGGTTCGTGTCCTGGACCCGGTGGCTTAAAACTCACGCCAGGCACGTGTGTGTGTGTGCCCAAGATCCCGAGAGGAGAATGGAGGAGAAGGGATTGCAGCATGACCATCCCCCCTGGGGGGTGATTTCTCGCTTTCTGTCTCTATGTCTCTCTCTGTCTGTCTGGCGAGCGCACGCGCCCTACAGTGAAAATCTCTCAAAAACAAAAACAAAAACAAACAAAAAAAATTATAGACATTGGGAACCAGCAGTTGCGTAATGGCTATGTCGCTGGACTCCCACGTAGTCGACCGCGGTTCGCATCCCGGACCTGGTGACTTAAAACTCACGCCAGGCACGTGTGTGTGTGTGCCCAAGATCCCGAGAGGAGAATGGAGGAGAAGGGATTGCAGCATGACCATCCCCCCTGGGGGGTGATTTCTCGCTTTCTGTCTCTATGTCTCTCTCTCTGTCAGTCTGGTGAGCGCATGCGCCCTATAGCAAAAACCTCTCAAAAAAAAAAAAATTATAGACATTAACAGCAAACTAACATTGAAAAAATTAAAATTTCAGAATATCTCATCTGAAAAACCAATCTTTTTCCCCTAAACCCTGTACTCTTATAAACTATTTTTCTTAGCACTGAAAATGTTTTTTGATT